AATGATTTTCAAGGCCAAAATTCATCGTTTTCTTTTTTAAATGACCTGAATAATAATATATTTAATCACGTTAAAATCCACCGATAACCTTAATTCTAAAAGTTAAAAGCCGTGTCGGCCACGGTCGCAGGGTAGTTGGCCGCAGTCCAGAAGGAGGTCAGCCCGCCCGGAGGGGTCAGACAGGGAGAAGAGAGTGGGGGAAGGGGGGAGAGGGCAGGGAGGGAGGAGAGAGAGTGGGGATGGAGAGAGGGAGAGAGAAGCAGAAAGGGGAGACCGCACACAAAGCATCGCTCGAACAAATACACAGTCCTCACCACCCAGCAGGCCGGGCTTTTTGGAAAATAGGGACAAGCAGGCTAGCAGAAATTCTTGAGGAACGGGACGGTTAGCAGAGATTCTTTAGGAAAGGGCAGGCTAGCAGAGATTCTTTAGGAAAGGGCAGGCTAGCAGAGATTCTTTAGGAAAGGGCAGGCTAGCAGAGATTCTTTAGGAAAGGGCAGGCTAGCAGAGATTCTTTAGGAAAGGGCAGGCTAGCAGAGATTCTTTAGGAAAGGGCAGGCTAGCAGAGATTCTTTGGGAAGGGCTTGCAGGAGATTCTTTAGGAAAGGGCAGGCTAGCAGAGATTCTTTAGGAAAGGGCAGGCTAGCAGAGAATCTTTAGGAAAGGGCAGGCTGGCAGAGATCATTTAAAAATTCACAAACATCACCGGAAAGCCTCGGAAAAAATATTTATTCACCGGTCTCATGACCACCACCCCATCACAACAGCATGAAAAAACAGAAACGGCTTTGTGGCGGTGGGATACTGTATTGCTGGCAGGCTGGTGGGTACGGTAGGGGGAGCACCGTCTAGGGCGCCAGGCTGTTGCACTCGTTCTCCTGCAGAAATGGTGGAAATTGAAGGCAGTTCCGAAAGAATATCTGCTAGCCCGCCCTTTCCTAAAGAACCTCTGCTAGCCCGCCCTTTCCTAAAGAACCTCTGCTAGCCTGCCCTTTCCTAAAGAATCTCTGCTAGCCTGCCCTTTCCTAAAGAACCTCTGCTAGCCCGCCCTTTCCTAAAGAACCTCTGCTAGCCCGCCCTTTCCTAAAGAATCTCTGCTAGCCCGCCCACCTGGAACATCATGTTGTCCCCCTCGCTGCAATGGAAGGCCTGGGTGAAGTTGGCGAGTTGGGAAGAGGGGCAGCGACCGCCGCTGCGCGGGGCCACGCCTGGTTGACCGCTTCGGTGTTCCTCAAAAAGGTAGGTAAAATAGGTAAAAAAGTAGGTCAGCAAAAAGGTAAAATTTCCGCTTACGTCGGCGAGCTCTCCAGCACGCGCATGCAATTCTTCGAGGCGTACGCGTAGTAGAAGAGCTGCTCCGGCGGGATGCCAGGAAATCCGTCTTTCGTGGGGAATGCCGGATCGGCGTCCTGGATTCGGGGGATATCTCGGACGCTCTCTCTCTCTCTCTCTTTGTGCCTTTCTCTCTATCTCTATCTTTCACTCCCGCCTCGCTCTCGCTCTCTCTCGTTCTGCCTCTCTCTCGCTCTCTCGCTCTCGCTCTCTCTCGCTCTCTCTCGCGCTCGCTTTCTCGCTTTCTCACTATCACTTTCTCTCTCCCTCCCTCTCTCTCTCTATCTCTCTCTTTATCACTCTATTTCTCTCTCTCTCACCTTATCGATACTTGACTCCTGATACTTCTTCCAGGCCCTGAGCGCCAAGTTCACCGAGTTGGTGAGCAGCGTCAGGTGGGTGTCGCTCGTCGTCGGCTCGCAGCTATCCTGCAAGGGCAAGCTAGCAGAGACGATTGAGGATCCAAGTAGCACGGGAAAAGCTAACAGAAATTATGGGTGTCGGGATTAGGGCTGTCGGGATTGTGGTTATAACAATTACGGCTGTCTGGATGTTGGCTGTCGGTATTACCCTTGTCGAAATTTTTGTTTGTCGGTATTTTGGCTTGCCGGATTACGGTTGTCGGTATTATCGCCTTTTCCCACCTCTCCGGTCATCGAGCACAGATCCAGGGCGTACTGGATGTAGGTGGGGCAGCGTTGAAGGTTCATCCAGAAGCGCTGCGCACGCACGAGCATCTGCGCCGCCACGTCGTACCCGGCCGAGCCGAACTGTAGGTGCAATTCCCATTGAATGGATCAAGAAAAATGCCGACGTACCACGGCCGACATCGGCACCGACTCCGCGTGGTCCCCGCCGATGGCGAACAGGACGGCGTCCTGGAGAGGTTGCAGAGTTGTCGGTTACGGTGCTTTCGCATTATCGGGGGGACCAACTTTTTTCTAAGGATATAATTTGCAAATATAAATTTTTTCTCTATTTTTCTATTCCTAAACGTGACAACTTTACAAATTTGTATAAAAAATGCCAAAAATGTCGATTATCGACCAAATGGCCAATTTTTTACCAAAATTTCGACTTTTTTGAAGGTCATCTTCGAGTTGATCCATGCCTTGCCGGTCCCTTTAATGCGTCTAAAATTACCATAAATCCCGTATCCTTGACGTGCGAGCGCTTGCCGAGTTTCACTAAAAGTTCAAGATTGTAAGAGCAAGAGAGGGATAGAGAGAGAGAGAGAGAGAGAGAGAGATAGAGAGAGAGAGAGAGTGAGAGCTGGAGAGAGAGAGAGAGAACTTGCATTTCGATGCGTCCCAATAGTCGTTCCGATACTGCTGGCCGAAGAGGCGCTCGGACTCGGCTTTAGGGTAGTACTTCGGCGCCATGAACTGGGTGGGGATCTCGTCGAACCAGTCGAGGCCAAAGTTCTCCTTCGGGTCGCGCTGAAAAGGCTTGTATTTATTTCCTAAGGAATCTCTGCTAGCCCGCCCCTTCCTAAAGAATCTCTGCTACCCACAGCCGGTTGCCCGCCCCTGTCTTCGTCGGCCTTCTTCCTGAACAGCTCGATCGTCAGCCGCATCGCCGCCAGCTGCACCGTCGTCTGCTTCAGCCGCCGGTCCTCCGTATTGTAGAAGGGGAACTTGCTGAACAAGTTTTGAGGAGGATTCTCAAGTCCACTACCTTAAGTACAGGTTGTATATCGCCATGAAACGGGCGTAGTTCTGCGCCAGGCGAGGGGCGGCTGCGGAGTTGTTGCCGTACTGGAATGGGATGCTTAGGTTCAGGCTTAGGCTTAGATTTGGCTTAGGCGTAGGCTTAGGCTTGCGCATCTTCTCACCTTGCGCAGCTTCTCGGCGATGAACTCGTTGTAGAAGGCGAGCTGATCCACCTGAAAAACCACGGTTTTATTTTTCTGACATTTTTCTGCCCTTTCCCAAAGAATCACTGCTAGCCTGCCCTTTCCTAAAAAATCACTGCTAGCCTCCCGTTTCCTAAAGAATCTCTGCTAGCCTGCCCTTTCCTAAAGAATCTCTGCTAGCCTGCCGCTTCCGAAACCGACCGCGTTGAAGTTGAAGGTGTCCCGGGGCGTCACCTCATCAACCACCATTTTTGCCACCGTGGCCAACTTTGGGTTGGCGGTTAGTGGGAGCTTGTTGAGGGCCCTGAACTCCAAATTTTCCTGAAGCCCGCAAAATTTTTACTGTATCCCATAAAGATAGGCAGAGTAGTCGCGGAGCGCGTGAATCTTCGGGATGAACTGAAAAAGGCAGGTTAACCTCTCTCTTGCTCTCTTTCTCTCTCTCTCTCTCTCTCTCTCTCTCTCTCTCTCTCTTTCTCTCCCTCACTCTCTCTTTCTCTATCTTTCTCTCATTCGCTCTCTCTCTCTCACTCTTTCTCTCTCTCGCTCTCTCTCTCTCTTTCTCTCCTTTCTCTCTCTTTCTCTCTCTCTCTCTCTCTCTCTCTCTCTCTCTCTCTCTCTCTCGCTCGTAGTCCCCACACTTACCTCAGCGACGTCCTTGTACGCGCCGATGGCGCCGCCGAGGATGGTCATGATCTGGTTGAACATCTCATCGAGCTTCACTTTGGTCGGCAGCTAAAGTGCATCAAAAACCCGGCTCTTCAGCCCGTACATTTTCTAACGCGTCATCGGTCACGATCATGACTTGGCTCTTGAAGGAGGGTAGTCCGGCGTCCCGAAATGCCTATGCACATTAATAGAGGGCAAGGCAGCAAAGAATCTCTGCTAGTCTGCCCTTTCCTAAAGAACCTCTGCTAGTCTGCCCTTTCCTAAAGAATCGCTGCTAGTTTCCCTGCCTCACTTTCATGACTCCTTTCATATAACCCAGCATCGAGTCACGAGCCGCAATCGATCCATAGGGGCAGACCTAAACGGGGAAAATCAGGAAATCGTCTCGGATTTAGGCTTACGCTTGGGCTTAGGCTTAGGCTTAGGCTTAGGCTTAGGCTTAGGCTTAGGCTTAGGCTTAGGCTTAGGCTTACGCTTGGGCTTAGGCTTAGGCTTAGGCTTAGGCTTAGGCTTAGGCTTAGGCTTAGGCTTACGCTTGGGCTTAGGCTTAGGCTTAGACTTAGGCTTACGCTTAGGCTTAGGCTTAGGCCTAGGCTTAGGCTTAGGCTTAGGCTTAGGCTTAGGCTTAGGCTTACGCTTACGCTTGGGCTTAGGCTTAGGCTTAGGCTTAGGCTTAGGCTTAGGCTTAGGCTTAGGCTTACGCTTGGGCTTAGGCTTAGGCTTAGACTTAGGCTTACGCTTAGGCTTAGGCTTAGGCCTAGGCTTAGGCTTAGGCTTAGGCTTAGGCTTAGGCTTAGGCTTAGGCTTAGGCTTAGGCTTATGCCATGACTTAGGCCATCTCAGCTTCGCTTAATGAGCCTCTTAAAACCCCCACATGACGATAGAAGTCACTGCAGGCGTGAATCGAGTTGCTGCGGTGGGGCAGGAAGACGTCCGGATGAAAGTAGCCGGGGTGCCCTGAAAACGGCAAGCTAGCAGAGATTCCTTAGGAAACGGCAGGCTAGTATGAAGAGATTCCTTAGTCACCTACCCGTCTTCCACTTGGTCGGATCGATCTGGAAGACGCCCTCATCGGAGTCGAGCCACGACCCGTACTCCCAGTCGAAGGCCCTGGCATTGCTCGTTAGAGGTTGTGGCTCAATTGTTACCAGGAAATTCCGGGTAGCAGTAGGATGAGAGGAAGCAGCTGCATCTCGGAGCAAAATCGCAAGATGGGGACGACTCATCGAATTTCCAGGATCCGCCGGTTTTCTGGGTATGCAACGATTGAATGCATGAAGGATTCAAATAGTGAGGAAGGGAGAGGGTGAGAAAGAGAGACCAAGAGAAAAAGAGAGATACAGAGAGATAGAGAGCGGGGAGAGAGGGAGACAGTCAGATGCAATGTTTTTCAATTTTCTGAGAGTTGGAGCTCGGGAGCAACACCCCCCATCCGTTCTCCCTAAGGCCAGAGGACGGTGCGAGGCTTTTGTGTTTGCAGTTATAGGCGCAAACCCAGGCCAAGCCTAAGCCGAAGCCTAAAACCTAAGCCTAAGGCAAAAGTTATGCCTAAGCCTAAGCCTAACCTGAACGTAAGCCTAAGCGTAAACCCAAGCCTAAGCCTAAGCCTAAGCCTAACCTAAGCCTAAGCCTAAAGCTAAGCCTAAGCCTAAGCTAAAGCCTACTTTGCCATCTACAAATTTCATCAACCCCAAATGACCCCCTGCCGCCAATCAGCGCTCCGATTTCCTGTTTCTCACCCCCAAGGGTCGGTGGGTGAAAGTGTGCCCTATTTTTAGATGGAGTTCATCTATCAACTCGGAATCACTCTATCGAATGAGCAGACGGTTGATTATTTTTATAATTCTAGCCATACTACTACCTATTAATGCGTTGAGCCCGCGTTTTGGGGGTGAGGAAGCGGGCGATGCGGAAGAAGCGCTGCCGATGAGGGGACGGTTGCTGGAAAATCCGGAGGTAGGGCAGGCGGTACTGGACTGTTAGCGTGGAGGACCATTTTCTGTTTTTTCCACCTATACATACAGTTGTTGATATAGAAAGTGTTTTTATAGTTTTTTTAGCAGTTCTTGATGGCTAGAAAGTCATAAAAATATTTTTTTAATTTTGAAAATTCGAAAAATTTGGCCTTTTTTTGGTCATTTTTCATGCATTATGACCAAAAATACAAAAATTTTCGACCATTTTTATTATTTTAAGCTGTTTTTATCTCTAAACTAAGTAAAATGCTACAAAAATTGTTTATATTGTGTCATAGGGTCGTAGAGAATCACAGCCAAAATTTTGTATCCCTCCCCGCTAACCCTAACGGGGGGGGGGGGGGCCCCCGCTAACAGTCCAGAACCGGGCAGACTAGCGAAGATCTTTGAAAACATTGCGATTTTCTTAGATGGACGTCCAAACAGACGGAATGGCCTTCGCCTTTGGCACGGCGCGAAAGGAGTCCGACGCCGAGCCGTACGTTCAGGGAGGTTAAAGGGAGAGCGCCATCTAGCTAACGAATCTCTGCTAGCCTGCCCCTTCCTCAGGAATCTCTGCTAGCCTGCGCTTTCCTAAAGAATCTTTCCAGATGGACGCCGACGGGCAGAAGCTCAAGCTGCCGAAGGGCATCTACCACTACAGCTCTCATGACACGGGAATGGACGGGCAGTGGAGGCTTCCGGAAACTGGACAATGGTGGAGAGGAGGGGCGGCTGTTAGGGTAAGAGAGACAGAGAGAGAGAGAGGGAGAGAGAGAGAGGGGAAGAGAGAGAGAGAGAGGGAGAGGGAGAGAGCGCAATACCGCCAATTTCAGGACAATTACCGTAATATTGACGGCGTCTACCTCCGGAATCCGTTCGCTGCCGATCCGATTAACGTGCAGGTGGTCACGGAGAGGTGAGTAGCACCTTCCTAACGAATCTCTGCTGGCCTGCCCCAAGCACCCTGCATCTTCAGGAGATGGGAGCACGGCCTAGAAGGCACGGCAGCTGATCAAACTCCCGAAGCTGCTCTCCGAAAAGCCCAACATATCTGTCGTACCGAAGACGAGGCAAAATGCGAACGTGCACTGATGGAATATTATGAGCTACAAACCGAGACGGTGGCCCAGGGCTCGGCGCCGTTGCACGAGAAATTGGTGCAGTTGGTGGGTTTATCTTCTCTCTCTCTATTTCTCTCTCTCTCCCCAAAAATAAACGGAATTCTAGGGCGACATCGCCTCATCGACGAAGGTTCGCTCAAAAACAGGTAGCTGGTTGTTTCGGAGGGGCAGACTAGCAAAGATGCTTTTGGAAAGGGCAAGCTAGCAAAGATGCTTTAGGAAAGGGCAGGCCAGCAGAGACCCTTTGTCAATTTCAGGTCACGGCATCGGGCTGCTGATGGAGCTACCAGGCCAGGAGGCTCCTCTTTACGTCGGCGCCGCCCTGGACAAGAAAAACGACCGGAATTTACGGATGCTATTTCAGCCGCCAAGGAGATGAGGGCGAAAATAAAATATTTAAGACGATTTCGGCTTGAAAATCACATGTTAAAGAGGCTTAGAAGGCAAAAACCGGGCACACTTTCCTCAAGGATCTCTGCTAGCCTGCCGTTTTCTAAAGAATCTCTGCTAGCCTGCCCCTCCCGCACAAAGTCCAGCTGCCCGTCTAGCTAATGGCGCCAAAATTAGGGTATCGATTCCGGGCAGCGTTCCCCCCCCTCTGTGTACCTCCCTCATAAAACTCGTTATCATTTTTGGCCTATCAATCAAGGGGGGCGACGGGCATCTGGCTGGGCCCGCCAGCGGGTCGCTCCTGTTTTCTGCCCGAATTGCCGGAAGGGTACTTTTAAAGAATTCTTGATCTATAAGACTCAGCATTACTTAGTTAGCTAAGCTTAGGCTTAGGCTTAGACTTAGGCTTAGGCTTAGGCTTAGGCTTAGGCTTAGACTTAGGCTTAGGCTTAGGCTTAGGTTTAGGCTTAGGCTTAGGCTTAGGCTTAGGCTTAGGCTTAGGCTTAGGCTTAGGCTTAGGCTTAGGCTTAGGCTTAGGCTTAGGCTTAGGCTTAGGAGTGGTCCCCGACCACTTTACTTAGGTTAGGCTTAGGTTTAGGCTCAGGTCGGGCGTAGGCCTATTTTTTGGTTTCAGCTTAGGCTTAGGCCTAGGCTTCGGCTTCCGTCTCTTTTCACAGCAATAATCGAACTACAGGCTACAAACTACGTCTATTTACGGTTTTTATGTGTAAATTTACTTTATTCGTATTTATCAAGCCGATAAATTTATTTCGACAGTCGTTTTAGTCGCATTAAACCCACGTGTTTTCCAGCTACTAAGATCAGATTTTGGACGTCGTTTGGTGCCGCGCGTAGTGTCGAGACCTAGACGGCAATAGGGGTAGAATTTAGGAGATCCACGGGCCTTTAAGAGCATCTTTCTCGCTATACTTTTTAAAAAATGCCCTTTATGATTAATGCCATTTTTCAAGGGCCATGCGAAAGCTTCTCTTGATTCTGTTCGCCGTTTCTGCGGGGGCTACGGTAAGTACCACTCCTTAAATCATGACCATCCGGATTTTCATGTCGTAATCAAAGTAACTTATCTTTTAAGAGCTACCGTAACGTATTTCTGCCTCAAGAGGGACCAATCTGCTCGGACCCGCGGTACCGTTGCGAGGACGAAGACTCGACGTGCTGCCAGACGCCGCAGGGAGATTATGGATGCTGTCCGATGAAGTAGGATTCTTAAATGACCTCTGCTAGCCTGCACTTTCCTTAAGAATCTCTGCTAGACTGCCATTTCCTAAAAAATCTCTGCTCGCCTGCCATTTCCTAAAGAATCGCTGCTAGCCTGCCATTTCCTAAAGAATCTCTGCTAGTCTGCCATTTCCTGAAGAATCTCTGCTAGCCTGCCCCTTCAAAAATTCACATTTCTAGAAACGCCGTCTGCTGCGAGGACAAGATCCACTGCTGTCCCCATGGTACAACCTGCGACGTCGAGGAGGGCACGTAAGTTTGGTTCTCTCTCGCTCGCTCGCTCGCTCTCTCTCTCTCTCTCTCTCTCTCTCTCCCTCTCTATTCATCCCTAAATCTCTAGCTGCAATCACGCCTCCGGCCACCGGCTCCCGCTGCAAAAGAAGAAAGCCAGCCAGAAGCACGACGTTAAGCTGGAAGTGGAGTGTGCCGACAAGAAGTCAAAGTGCCCGAGTGGTCAGTTTTAAAGGCATGCTAGCAGAGATTCTTTAAGTAAGACAGGCTAGCAGAGATTCTTTAGAAAAGGGCATGCTAGCAGAGATGCCTGAAAAAAAAAACATTAATTCCAGGTACCACGTGCTGTCTGATGTCCATGGGCGGATATGGGTGCTGTCCGCTGCCCAAGGCTGTCTGCTGTGAGGATAGGTGGGTAATTCGAAGGGCAGGCTGGCAGAGATTTTTTGCGCCATTTTGAAGAAGGCAAGCTAGCAGGGATTTTTTAGGATGCACTGCTGCCCCGACGGAACTCGCTGCGACTCCAGCGGCCAGCGCTGTATTCAGGACGAGGTTAGGAGTTTGGATCGGGTTCTATCCAGCTCTCTCTCTCTCACTCTCTCTCTCTCTCTCTCTCTCTATCTCTTTTACTATGCAAATTTCAGACAAACCATGTGACGCCGTGGTTCACAAAATTCCCCTCAACCCCGATCCGCCGGAAGCCCGGCATCAAGTTCAGCAAGGACCTGATCGAGGACTCGTCGGAGACAATTTCCGGATGAGGTGAGGT